GTTGAATGTCGACTCGTGCGACTAAACAAAACAGGTTTGTGTGGTACAGTAAGGGTACCCTGTTAAGGCGGGAAGTTATCGAACCACGTTTTGCGTCCAGCGTGCAGCGTGCAGTGCATTTCGATTTTTTTGCTGCACCCTGCACGCGTGATGGCGCAAAACCGGAACAATTGTGCGTGCATGCACCTCACCCATATGGTAGTCGCATTGGTCGTGTACCAATTACTTTTCTACACTTTCTTTGGGAAAATACCATTCTACAGTACACCGCGGTCTGCTCATTTCCTCTGGTTTGATAGCGCTGTACTGCTCATCATGTCATCCGATCCCTCAAGCTTGGATTCATCCATGTAGTGATGGCATGTGATGTCCTCAATATTTGCCTTCCAGTCGATGAAGAAATGGAGATGCAATGGAGGACTATTGGAAGAATATGCTGTCTACTGCAAAAGGATCCTTTTTATGAATGGTTGCCATGTGCAACCAAGCCAAACAGGCAGGATATCAAAAGCAATTGAGTTTACTTGAGTTTAGGACTGCTATGGCCTGAATGTTCAAGCAATGAGTGACGCGGCCAAATGCGTTTCATTTACTTCATTATGATCGCGGCTCCAGCATAGCCTTCATTGACAAGCAAGAAATCCGAAAATCCAACCTATCAGCTGACAAATCAGCTGACGAAATGTCAGAGGACTTTGACACTGCAAGCAGACAAGCAGGGGTTGGCAAAGAATTGGGACTGGTCCGCCCTGATCGTGTCAACGAGAGATAACTACTATAGGAATACTGTAATTGAAATGATAGGACTAAGAAATGGTGACTAAAATTGGTGTAGTATACTATACTATATACTAGTAGTTTGGTTTCTAGCCAAATAATCTTACAAGTTTGTTCATGGACATGTACGCCTTGACAACTGTTTCTTGAGCCTCATAGTATTCCCCATCAGGAAATCTTTCATCCAAATGGTAAGGATTGTCATTCGTTTTGGACTTGCAACGCCTTCTTCTTCTTGACTTGCTTTGCATTGAACGTATCCACACTTGGAATTGTCGGATAACTTAGAATTGTCGGATAACATAGATTGGCAACAATTCCCCTCTTGGAAGCTACCTTATTCGCCACATAGGCTACCGTTGTCTCTTTCTGTTTCATCAAGACGGCTTCTTCTTCCTTCAATCGCTCCTCCCTCCTTCGTCTGTTCCTTTTCTTTATTCCTATCCTCCTTTTCCTTCTTCTCCGCGGCACTTTTTCTTCGCATTTCATCCTGTTCTTCCATTAATTTCACCTTCTTCTTCTTGCTTAGCACTACAACTCCTGGCAAAAGGAAGGAGTTCCGCTTTCTCTCTCTTGTTGTGTTGCCAGATTGGTATCGTGGAGACTTTGTTTCGGAGCCATCTATTGATTAATTGTATTGTTATTTTGCGAGGTTACCTATGGAAAGAAAAGGGTAGTGCTAGATACCAGAAGAACAAGGAGGTCAGCTAGATTTCAAAAGTGCTGTTTTTTCGTTTGTTCAAACCAACGTTGCTTTTTCGTTTGTTCAAACCAACATTGTCACAAGTGTTATCGTCCTTGCTATGGGAGGCTAGAATGTCTAGAGCAAGAATTAACACGGCATTCGTCATGATAAACTAGTGAAAAGAACAGAAGTTCAAGTGCAATGAAGTCTTTTATTTTATTTTGATGTGAATTGTGAGTTGAGGTTGTCGAAACCTAATTGAGATTTGGCCAATGGCCAATACTCACGGTCAACGAATCCGAAAACGGATTCGGCCCTTGCGCGTTTATCGCACACTTTTTGCAATTCGTTTTTTTGGCGAAATCAGGTCAACCTCACGGTGACGGATTACGAAAACGAAACACGCATGAATCGGACCAATCAAGCATGAATCAGACCAATCAGAATCCACTAAGATGCCACTTTTTTCTGTTTTGGATACTTGTCTCCTTCACCTTCGTACCGGGTACCACTTCACCTCTTCCTGACAGCTTTCGACCGTGCCATAATGACAAAGAGATTGTGACCTATACCGGTACCATAGCACCACACAATAATTGTTTAACCATTGATTTCTAGTAATCTTCATTAACCTACAAATCCTTCATTTGGTACAAAGCACAACAGGTAAGTCATATTGTGTCACAAACTTCTATCCCGTGTAGGGGGATTCCAGTCTTGAGGATTCGGAAGCGTCCTTTCATTATTCCAAAGGTTCACTCCACATCTTTCCTCATACTCTCCAACCACTTGCTAAATTGCATCTCCGAGTAGGTTGTCCACAACTTCATAGAAGGCACAAAAACAGACCAATGAAGATATCCGTTGTCGACGATGGTCCAAGCCCCTGAGTATTCCACCTCCCTCCTTTCAATTTCATCATCATCTAATTCAAGAAGAGTGAAAATGAGGTCCCCATACCGTTCACCCTTTCTGAGTTGATTGGCAAGTTCGTCAAAGCGGATCAAGGTCTTGTCGGACCATCTGCCAGGGTGACCTTTAGTAGTTGAGAGAATGCGCCGGCGGTGGTTGACTGTCGTGTTATATGTCCGTGTGGGCATTGCAAGCGTGAAGGAATCATGGTGATTCCTCAGCCTGTAAAAACATCTTAGCATGCCTCTGCCTCTTCAATTTCCCTGTTTCTTGGGTATTGAAAGTACAGCATGGGGTCTAGATCTCTTGTAGTTGGGTCAACACAGCTTATCACAGCTTATCAGCCTTGTTGGAGGGCCGCAGGGTTGGGCATTGCCCATGATGACTTGGATCCTAGAGTTTTGTCCGAATCCGTTCGTTGACAAAAACCCGGCAAATCGGGAAGATTTTCAGCTTCCAACGGATTACGAATTTGAGGCTTCAGTAAAGGTTGGTAGGGTTTGTACGTAGGTACATAATTTACATACGGTATTTTGGAATTCGTTTTCGGATTCGTTGACCGTGAGTATTGGCCTCCAGAATCGTTCGATTTCAAAATGCACCATGCATATGCAGCTCAATGGGGATACCCGGAAGTAACTGTCTAGCGTGGAAAAATTCACGCTGCATGCATCATTTTTGGTTCGATAACTTTCCGCCTAAGAGGGTATTTTTTAACCCTTTTACGAACACAAATAGAATCCGAGAAAAAATCGGATTCTATTCTGGTACTTTCTACATACGTGAGTGAATATTCCGGTCAAATTTGGGAAAGAAAATTAATTGAATCCGAGTTTTTCTCGGATTCTATTTCAATAGAGCGCCTGCCAGGCAAAGCCGTTAAGTTAATAGAATCCGAGAAAAACTCGGATTCTATATCAGGCCAATACTCACGGTCAACGAAAAACGGATTCGGCCCTTGCGCGTTTTTCGCACACTTTTTGCAATTCGTTTTTCTGGCCAAAACACGTCAAACTCTCGGTTGACGGATTGTGAAAACGAAACACGAATGAATCGGACCAATCAAGCATGAATCAGACCAATCAGAATCCACCAAGATACCTCTTTTTTCTGTTTTGGATACTACTTTGAACTTGTCTCCTTCATCTTCGTACTTCACCTCTTCCTGACAGCTTTCAACCGCGCCATAATAACAAAGAGATTGTGACCTAAACCATAAGCACCACACCATAATTATTTAACCGTTGATTACTAGTACTCTTCATTAACCTACAAATCTTTCATTTGGCACATTGATTGCAGGTGGTGGCTTGTCTCCTTTCCTTGAAGGCCACTGAATCGCATTTCGCCTCCATATTATATCAAAATATTGGATCAGTTTCGTTCTAAAACTTTTCATAGAGAGACTTCGTACAGGAATAGGCGTTGTCAACGATGGTCCAAGCCCCTGTGTATTCCACCTCCCTCCATTCAATTCCATCATCATCTAATTCAAGAAGAGTGAAAATGAGGTCCCCATACCGTTCACCCTTTCTGAGTTGATTGGCAAGTTCGTCAAAGCGGATCAAGGTCTTGTCCGACCATCTACCAGGGTGACCTTTAGTAGTTGAGAGAATGCGCCGGCGGTGGTTGACTGTCATGTTATGTGTCTGTGTGGGCATTGGAAGCTCGAAGGAATCATGGTGATTCCTCAGCCGGTAAAAATATCTCAGCGTGCCAATGTGGGTGGCATCACCACTTCCAACACAACCATTGAAACCTGCCCTTGCATATTCTTCGGAGCACCTTCCTCGAACGTCTTCTGATGTGGCAGGAAGGTACACATATTTGCGGTACAGAGCTGTTGAACCCCAATGATGATAAACATGGAGAAAGCGTCGGTGGGTTTCTTCTGAGATTGATGTTGATTCCTCAAGATCATCCAGTGTCCACCCACGTCAGAGATACCCAAGAGTCCCCAGAAGTAACAGCTCAGTGGGTGCATGAGATCTCTTGCCAGTGCAATGTTTGGCTGTGTCACTCCATTTTGAAAACAAGGGGCTGGCTTTCACTTCCTCTAGGTGCTTGAGGTAGGACTAGTTGGATCAACACAGCTTATCAGCCTTGTTGGAGGGCCGTAGGGTTGGGTATTGCCCATGATGACTTGGATCCTAGAGTTTTGTTGGAATCCGTTCGTTGACGAAAATGTTCCCGATTTGCCGGGCAAATCGGGAAGATTTTCAGCTTCCAACGGATTACGAATTTGAGGCTTCAGTGAAGGTTGGTAGGGTTTGTACGTTAGTACATAATTTACATACGGTATTTTGGAATTCGTTTTCGGATTCGTTGACCGTGAGTATTGGCCTCAGATGAATTTCAGATCAATTCTCATCAATATTGCGCACCATCATTATATATAACATACATGTCATATATAATTTTCAAATATTTTTAGCTCTTTTGAAACTCTCACGGTCTGTGCAACCAAAGGTGCGCCATATTAGTCCCCCAATTTATACTTCATCATGTGTTGAATTTTGATGTCATCATGCGTTGGAGCTGTGTCTTGCAGTTGTGATAATGATTGTTAAGAATCAGGATACCTCAAGGAAACATAGTTCTTCTGACGGGTCTTTCTAGCAGGGTCATGAAGGATGCTGCCAATGAATTGCGGAAACTTGGTATCTGTGCCTGCCAAACCAGATGTACCAACCGTTCACAAAGGGAACTTGATTCATGTCCGAAATGTCAACTACCCAAACATGCAACATGTGGCATCAAAGTTCCTAAAGATAATGGGGAGATTGTCTACTGGTGTTTCGAATGCAAGGAGGGTCCAAGCTTGACACACCATTCTAGAGTGAGAAAGAAGAGAATTAGAGGGCAAGAAGAAGCTGACCAGGAAGAGGGGATAAAGGTCAATAAGGCAAAGAAGAAACCTAATCGTTTACACTATAAACTCCCTGTAAAGCAAACTGAAGCTACCAGACAAGATGATTCCTCAGAAGAACAATTGGAAGAATCTTCCAATGTCAAGAAGATGCCTAACCAATCAGCGCCAACTTCTCAAATTAAGAAGAAGTCAAATGTCCCGCTGTATGAACCTAGGTTGATGTCAACTGAAGCAAGTGAGCCTGATGATGAAGAAGATTCCTCAGAAGAAGAAATTAAAAAAAGGTCCAGGGCCAGTTCTTATCCTCCAAGACGTGTGCTTGCCACATCATCTAGTGACACTAGTGAAGACAATAGCCAATCTATTGACAAAATTGATGTCCAACGTAGTTATAGAAATAACAAAAGTGAAGAGGAAGGTCCACAGAGTGACACAAGTGACCAAATTGAAGAGGAAGACCAACCCAATT